ATATATATATATATATATATATATATATATATATATATATATATATATATATATATATATATATATATATATATATATATATATATATATATATATATATATATATATATATATATATATATATATATATATATATATATATATATATACACACACACACACACACGATGTGGTAAAAGAGTGGACATGTTCACATACAGTGTCCGTGTAGAGTTTTGCAAAATCTTTATTTGACAAGATATAAGATATCTGGACAATATACATTCGCTAGTTGGCATGGCATGGGTTCAGGTTTTGCTTAATTTAAATGCAAAGACAGCTTTTGAGACCAAATTCTTTGTGTCATTCTTATTATGTTCTTCTAAACACAAATAAGCAAATCCAATTGCACTTAGTCTAATACTTAGATAATATAGATTTTGACCAGAAGCTGAGAAGGGAGCTAGAGAACCTGGTCAATTGTTCGGATGTCTGGAGAAAGGCCGCCATGAACACAAAGTACCTGTGTGAACCAAAGCATACAAGAGAATTATGTTATCATAAAGCCGTATTAAGAAATAAAAAGCTCATGCACTGCTTACGTGTGCAAAGGGAATAGAGAGAGGGAAGAGGGAGAGAAAGAATAAAAGAGATTTACAGTTCCATCTATAATTGCAGAAAGTGTAAGATAGTCAAAGACATCAGTACAGTATCTCCAAGCATTAGCATTTCCATACTTTCTCTGGCATTCATCATAAAATCCATAGACCTAGCAAAATATTAAATTACAACATTAACATAAATTGGCATCATAATTTTTCACATCTCTAATCTTAGTATTTCCTCAATTATCATCTATCTCTGTAAGTTCTCGTAATAGAAATCCATAAACTTTGACATTTCTTACTAGTACTACAGCTAGAGCAGAAGTAGAAAACTAAAACTAGAATGATAGTTCACAAGTCCTCAGTTATATAATCAACAGACTCCTAATTTATTTTAACAAATCAAACCACTACTCTCACAATACACAATTGACAACATTGGGTTGTTAGAGTGACACGAATCAGAAACTATAATAATTTCCTATAATTCATGTCAGGCATGATAGCCAAGTAGTATATTTAAAGCATACCTGGGTGAGTTGTCTACTTTCATGATTTCCACGTAGAAGAGTAATATTAGCTGGGTATCTACAAAATCAAACCAAAAAAAGCTTAAATAAAAAAGTACTAAGAAAGACACAATAAGAATAAGTTGAGATCCAAACACAACCCATAAATTAGAAAGTCTCAAAACCACAAAGCAACTGCAGTATTACTCAAAACCAACATGAACACAGTCTAAGTTAAGACAAATACAAGCAAAAATAGATAGAAGCAACACAACATACCTAGCTTTTAGAAGCAAAAGGATGGTGAATACTTCAAGACTATTGTAACCCCGATCAACAAAATCCCCCTAACACACATTTAGCAAAAACAAAAACATCCATTAAAAAAAAACATAACAACAACATCATCATCCAGATCCAAAAATACACAACTCAACATAGTAGAATACCATAAAAATGTAATTTGTCTCGGGAACATGACCGCCGGTCTGAAAAAGTTTCATTAGATCATGAAATTGACCATGAATATCACCACAAACAGTTACTGGACTATTGACAGGTTGCACATTGGACTCCTCAATAAGAATCTCTTTAACCTGAAACAGCAGAAACAGAAATAATCGCTTAACAAATTCTAAACTCAAACTAAAACAAAACCAATTAATTAACTAATTAATTAAAAGCACAAAGTAATAATAATAAAACAATAATAGATAAATCTTCATCGGAACGAAACAGTGCCCTAAAAATTAAAACCTCGTGGATTTGAAATTAAGGAAGAATTGAGTATGAATCGATTGAAATTGAAATTGAGAGTGAAGGTGAAAGTGAAACCCTAATATATGGAGAGAGAGAGAGAGAGAGAGGGAGAGAGAAAAGAGAGAATACGTATTCGCAGAGAAGTTGAAGTTCGTCTTCGAGAAGGTGTTGGCCGTCTTTAACCTTCGAGATCCACTGGTCCAAATCCATATCTCAGTCACTCTCTCTCTCTCTCTCTCTTCTCCCTCGGCGGTGCTAAAATACGAAATGTACCGAAACAAGAGGAGAGAAGGAGGAAATCAGCGTCTCTCTTCTCTACTAACAATTACTTTCCCTCCAGTCAACAAAAATTATTAACATCTACCTAATATAACCTTTTTTTTCTAATAACCATAATTTATGTCCATAAAGGTAATAATAATAATAATAAATCACTTTTTAGCTAATTTCATAGTAATCATTTAATAATAATAATAATAATAATAATAATAATAATAATAATAATAATAATAATAATAATAATAATAATAATAATATATTGTTAAGTACCAATCAAAAAGTACAAGTGTGTATGTTTTTTTTGCAAGGACATCGAGACTCATATACCTAGCATGTTTATAACACGATTTGGTAGTGAGGGCTTACTCGTAGCGGCGAAAAAATTTGTATGGTGGTGTTCTTAGGTGACTTAGAAAAAATACTCACGTGAGGTGAGAAGCTTTGCTGATGACTGTAGCGGTAGAAATGTTCAAGACTAAGTCATTGGATTGACTAGATTTTATACAAATCAAAATAAAAATCGTTATCGCGCTTTATTGTTTCCAAGGGAATAGAAAAAGAGCGAATAACCCAAAAAGCGGGGGAAAGATTCATGGTAAGGGGGGTGGTTATGTAAATGAAAGGTATTAGCACTCTAAATATCTACGGTACTCCGCATGAGCCTCTTTGTAAAATTTGTATATTTTGGATATAAAAAAAAATGTTGTATAAAAAATGGATGGTGGAGGTGAGAAAAGAAATATATTTATTTTATAATTTTTGCACCCGACGCGGTTGCGAACCTTTAGTGCCTACGTACCACCTTTTCGTGCAATAGGGGATTAGGGTACACGTAGTTCCTCTTTCAAATCTTTAAAACTCAAATGTGTTGGTTAATTTTATAAGATAAAACATCATCGTCATTGTCCGCGTAGAAAACACACCTACTACCCACAATTATGAGAAAGGAGAAATTGCATCATCTCAAAGTGGAGGATATGGCTTGGACTTCAAAATCAACAATGCTTCACTCAACACCCAAGTGGAAAATATCTCTCTTCACTACATATTATAAAAATATAATTGTTTGCATCACTACAAGGATTGACAAGAGTTTAATCTTTTAAGAAAAATTTTAAAGATAAAAAGTCAAAGTGGCAAAATGGTTTGAAATGAGATTGATTGACTTTTAGTCTTCTCACAAAAAAATGTCAAGGTATTATTAAGTTGATTGGAGTTTATTTGTGAAAATATTTTGAAAATGCATGGACATAAGTCCAAGTTTATTATGAAAATGGTTCAAGTTCAAAAACAAAAAGAGTTTTCAAAAAGGGAAAGAAGATTTTTTGAATTTAAAGAAGATGGGGGGAGAAGAATGGACTATCCTAAAGCACAAGGTAAAAGCTAGAGATAAGAATCGTCTAACCAATAAGAAGCCAAAATTTGACATTATGAGTCAAGACAGAATTCCCATTCCTTGGATTGAAACCAATCAAGCAAAAAAATACTAGACCTCTTGAGAGAATCAAACTTCAAGTGTATAAAGTCTTCACAAAAATTGGGCAGAGTAACGGCTGTATACAGGCGAATTCCAAATTACAAACAAAGAGTGTAATCACAAAAACCTGCACACAAAAACAAACAAGCAACCCAATGTCTTGAGGTAAACCTCAAGAACTCCAGACAAAACAATCAGATAAGATCACAATGTCTCCAAGATAGGCCAAGGTTTCTAATCCTAAGTCTAAGAAAAGTCTCATGCTCCATAATGCCAAGGATAGTAACCAAATAGTCCAAGTACCATTAAATAATTTTTTAGGGTTTATGTTGATTATTAAGTATCTTAAGAAGGGAAAAGAAAAGCTCAAGTGAGCAAAAATAAAAATGGCAAGAAAATAAATGCTCAAATGAGCAAATAAGAAAATGGCATTAAATGTAAATGTTAAAAGTAAATGGTACATAAAGCATACAAAGAATAAAAGCATAAGGTAAAGCAAGTCAATAGTTAGTGATTAGTTGGATGACCATCTTGAAGCTTGCATTTGGAACTCATTAGAGGATTGGTAGAACCAAAGCCTCCATACAATAAGTTGCATTTGCTTTTTGTCAAGTATATCATCCATTTGGAATTCTCATAAGTACTATTTAATGATCAACGATGTTTAATTGATCCGCATTGACCAAAGGTGTTATAGATCCATTAGAGGATTGGTAGAACCAAATCCTCCACACAATGAATCTCAAGGTTATTGGATCAAAGAGATCAAATTAACATACTTGGGCTTATAATCATAAGTTTGGGCCACGAATGATCATTTATTCGAATCGGGATAAAATTTAGCAATATGTTAAGCAATCGTAAATAGACTTATATAGAAGTCACACATATTTTGAGGTCGATCAATAGCAACCTATGCACCATTTTTTTGAGACATGATATAGAGATCATGCTCCAACAACATTTAGTGCAATAAGAAAAGGGATGAGATGAAGAGGGATGGGGAAAAAAATATACAAACCACATTTGAATTAAATTTTAATCAAACTATTATTAAAACCATTCATCCATTTTTGTGAAGTTAAACTCAACACTATGGATTCAATGATGTTAATAAAGTTCATGATCCAAAATCTAACTCAAGATCAGCCAGAAAATAATCACAAAATAATATCACATTTAATATACACAAAAAAAGGTTTTAAAAATAAAAAATAATGAGAAAAATATCAACTATGTTCAAATTAATCAAGAAATAAAAAGTAGGACTTTAGAAAAATCAGAAAAAGTGCCAAATTATCTTACAAATTTTTTGGTAATTTTTTAAAGTCAGAAATTATTTTTAAAATTAAAATAAATGGGTAAAATAAACAAAAAATAGTAAAAAATGGTAAAGTCGGAAACAAAAATAAAATAAGGTCACTAATATTTGTCACAATATTATTGGATCATTCCATAATTTTTCCAGAATTTAAAAATATATAAAAGTATTTTTAAACATTTAAAACAAATCAAATAAGTGTAAAATTTATAAAAAATACCAAAATACAAAATTAAATTGTGAAAAAATAAAAATCAGAAAGAGAATAATCAAAAATATTTTTCATAATTTTTTTATATTTTTTGGACTAAAAATGATTTTTCTATGATTTTTTGAAATTTAAAACAATTAAAATATAAAAATCAGAAAAAGAAAATAAAAGTAAAATATGTGGACCATTGGATGAGAGTCGAAACGTGTTAGTAATCAAATCTAAGGGATCTGGCGCGTTGTGCATATCATGGTCGTTAGTGAATAATGTACAAAATCATTCATTAATTAAATCAGATTTTGAAAAAAACAGATGGTGCGCCTTCATTGGTTGGAAGGTGACGCGTTGGTCATCTTCAACCTCCAGCCATCACGAATTGCAGGTCTCTCAAACTGTAAAATCAGAAGCTCAGACTTATGCCATTCGCTTCATCTCTTCAAGACGAAGACAACCACACTCTCGCGCCAAATTTATATAAATTGTGGCTCAAGCAATTTGGAAAGAAAGTTTTGAAAAGGGATTTGAAATTTCATGGTCAAAACGTGTTTCCAGTGAAAGGTAAGTGTTGCGACTAGAACCAGGGCAATGAGAGCAACACAAAGATATCATAGTTTTGAAGAATTGATGAACGAATCTACCTATTAAAGTTAAGTTGCAGAGCTCTGAAACTGGACTTCTATGGAGCAGTATAGGGCATGATTCTTGAATGTAATTATATGGTTAGCTTCAGGGAAGATCAATGAAGGTGAATTAAGAGAAAAATTGGATTGAAAAAGGGTCGAGTATGGATTTTGAAGTTGCTGAATTCTGAGTTGTGAAACAAGTTTGGCATGGTGATTCTGGCTATCCAAGCTTGGGAAATTGAATGGGATATTTCATGTATTTATAGGAGAAGCGAATGGGATCAAAAGGAAGGGTGAATGGTGCGTTTTGGAGGGAAATCGTGCACACCTGATGCACGAGTGAAATGTGATACAAACTTCATCAAAACTCATCCAATTCTTGCGTTTTGATGTGCTAAACAAATTTGGAACTTCACTAAACATGTTTAGAGGCAAAAATGCGTGGAAAACTTGTGATTATAGGCCACATTATGGATTTCAAAATTCTGACATGGTGAGAAATTCAATTTCAAAGTGCCAACTTCTGACCAATGGCATTTTCAACTCAAAGGGTCTTAAGGCACGATTCTTGATGCTTTAGAAAGATGAGGTTATAAGCTTTACAATGGAAAAAGAATGGAGTTAAATGGATGCTTGAGATGAAAGTTGCATTGAGTCAAAGTTGAGGAAAAAGGGTTGACTTTCCATACTTAGAAATATTTCAAATTCTTCTTCAAAAATGACCTATAATCTTTTGCATCCAAACATGGCCTTCCACTTGGAATTTGCTCTTGACCAAAAAATATGTAATGAATTAGATCTCTTGAATGACATTCTGAAACTTGAAACGTTCAAAATCTCCAAAAATTGAGCAAGTTATGACTTGTTGAAGTTGGTCAAAAATCATGAAATGACCTATAATCTTTTGCATATTTAAGGCAACCTCCATCCATTTTCCCACTTTGCACATAAAAGAAGGCATGAAGTTCACATCTTCAAGATCATTATGGAAAAATAATGGACTCAAAGTGATAAAAATTGACTAAGTTATGATCATTTGAAGTCACTTATGTAAAATTGTGGATTCATCTGGATGACTTGTAATCATTCTTTTTCATCAAGGCTCTTCCACATGAAAACTCCTTGGAACTTTTGAATTGATTTGCTGATAACCCCTTGAAGAGAATGATGTATTTGGAATCACTCAAAAATACCAAAAGGTGAGCAAGATATACTCCTTTGAAGTTCAAAACCCTAACTTCTAGATCAAGAAAATGCCTTGAGGAACTTTGACAAGTTTGAACAAACTTCTTGTACCAA